GTCTAATGGGGTCGGACTGCCTCCATTTTGCATGTTTTATTGTTGCCAAATGAGTAAATACTCCATAATAGTGAATTCAAAACTGACTATTCAGTGTCTGTGTTTGAACCTCTGTCTCATTCCCAGAACTAGTCCTGCAGCTTCCCAAAGGAGTGTCATATTAGTAGAGGTGGGACAAAAATTTTCTGGCCTTTCCGTAAGGATTGCCTGGATTTACTGTCTTTTTCACCTTCAGGCACAGCTCATGATTGCTAACATTGTACACAGAGCTGTGAGCATCTCTGAGGTCCCTTCCAACCCAAATCACCCTGTGATTCTAAATTCAGGCATTTGTTGTTGGTGTGTGTTCCTGATCTCGGAGAAGCATTTGTTGGAGTCTTTGAATATCAAGCATGTGGACCTAGGCAGAAAATTGCCCATTAAAACTAAATTACGGAATGATCCTCAGCTGTCAGTACGACTTTAAAACGTGGAACATAGAAATACTTTAAAATGTTCTCTTGACAGATGTTTAGCAGTAGATCTCTCTGGGTCTGAAGTTCCTTTCTGCCCCTTTTCCCCCTCCCACCTCCTCATTTTTAACCAGATGGTGGAGGAGAAAGCAACGGACTGGACACAGCCACTGACGATGCGCGTTCCTGCTCGGGAAATGCCGAGGAACTCGGTTCTCTGCCCGGTGCATCTCTCACAGAAGAGCAACGAGAGCGTATCAGGAAGAACCGGCAGTTGGCCCTGGAGCGCCGGCAAGCGAAGATGCGGTGTGACAGCCAGGCACAGCACCACGGTAATCACCTTGTACCTTCAGAGTTGGTGCCAGGGTCAGTACCCCGAGGGGCTTGGACAACTGGGCTGCCCAGTCCGTTAAAGGAAACGGCAGCCACTGCTTTTCCAATAAGTAGCAAGATGTTTAACTCTCACATTTAAACTGTGTTTCTGTAGCTCCAAAGCTAAGTCAGAACTGCTCTCCCTGATTGTCATGCCAAGTTGTGATAGCTTTGTCTTTTGATGAAACGGAGCTCAGCTTGCTGGTCATCTCTGGAGGTGGCTTTCCTGCAGGCTGTGATTCTGGTAACAGAAGCTGCAGTTTGACACACAGCAACAGTGTTTTGTCATGGTAGGAAATTGGGTTTAGGTTGTTTATTTTTTTTTCCCCAACAGAGCTCTCTGCTTCTTACTCAGAAGAGTTTAATACCTCAGTCGCTCAGGATCCTGCTCACCTTATCGAAGACACTCAGGTTACCACAACCGAGGTGGCTGTTGTAGAAGCTGAAGCTGGAGATACAGAATCAGAACACGCCAGTGAAAAGCAGTAACTGTTCCCAGTACTTTGGACTGGCTTTCTTAACAGAAAGGCCTCACTGTTTAAAGTTCCATCACTAGATTGAAACGTTGCTGGCTCCCAGCGCTCTGACTCCAGAAGCTTCATGGAAGTTTTCACTACGACATCTGTATTGTTGGACAGAACTCTTCTCTGGAAACTGCAGATGAGCAACTGTGGAGTTGCACTACACTGGAAAACAGAACAAAGTTCTTCATCTGCATTCGAGACATCTTTTCCACCTCCCCCAACATTCCTGAGGAAATGTTTTGAGTTTTTCAACCTACTTTGAATTTTGTTTACAAGTTGAGGTCAAACTGAATTAACTGGGATATGGACAGCTGAAGCTTCTATTAAAGTTGCTGTTTTTTTTTAAAGAGGGTATATATAATAACGGGTAGTGCTATGTCTGAACAGGCATCCTGGATTTTTTAAACTTGCTTATCGAGTACCTGTATCTTGTTGTTATACAATGGAAACTATTAAATTTTCAAAGTCAAACCTGAACTTCTTGTATGTGGCTGTTACAACTCCAGGCACCTCCAGACTTCCCCAGCCCTTGTGCTACTTGAGCATCTCTGCACAGACAAGTACGTCCCTGAGGGGAAGATGCTTTGGCTTTGACCAAATCAGTGATGTTCCTTTGGCTGACTTTGTTGTCTGCCTTGAAGCTGTTTCATCCTCTTCTTACCGTCTCGTTTTTCCTTCTTGCGCAACAGCTTTTCCCTTTTGTGGAACAGACAGGAATCACCGTAAGGGGGAAGCCCTGAGTGCCCTCTCTGATAGCACAGAGGAGACTGTTGTTTGCAACAGGAACTGAATTAAGACGAGAGCAGCACTTAGAGCAGATGAAATAAGTTCATGTCAACAGAGGTGGGGTTTTTTAATCCCAGATGTGCACCTGGGGTATTTCAGTGAACAAAATTCTGTATTCTAGGTAAGCGTGACGGAGTTTGCTTTTTGTATCCTTGCAGTTGTGAGTTAAACTCAACTACGGTATAGTGGAAGATGGCCAACAGCTGTAGAAAATAACTTCAGTTTTAAGTATATATACGCTTCAGTTTCTCATGTTGTCTATAAATTAACTTTTCAAGCAATAGTTAAAAGAATTCGCCACACTGACTTTAGTCTGGAAGGTGAGATTTATCATGTATAAAATCTTTTAAAAACCTCATACATGTTCATAATCAGGTAAAAATAATTCTTATTTAAAATAGACATTTCGTTTCTTATTAAAATGACTCTTGAATATTTAAATAAACTGCTTATAAAAAATCCAAACCCAATCCTACAAAGTGAGTAGGACCAGAATATCACCAGCAGATGCTGCAAGGTTACAGTTCAGTTCTAACGTCAGCTGAAACATCTAACAGAGCCAAGTCCCTGATCTCCTCCAGCAGCTGGTACAGGCTGGCTCCCTTGGTCTGGCAGTACTCCTCATAGTCTTCATCAATTACTTCAACTTGTGCTTTTTCTTGGGCACGCTGGGCTGCTTCTGCAGACTGACTGACTTCTTTGACCAAGTCAGATTTCACCACGTGAAAATTCTGCTGGGAAACCTCTGTGCCTGGAGTCTGGTATGGCGCGTTCCTGATTATTTCAAGCTTGATCGTGTCGGCGTGGCAGCGGGAAGTCTGCACGAGTATTTTCACCTTAAAAACAATAGAAAAAATATTTTATTTCTGATGGTGCTACTTCGTTTTACTTCCTTCAGATTAAATACTCACTGTAATATGATCGAAAAGGCTTAATGTAACTGTTTCTCCAGTAGTTGTGGTGGAAGTAATTTTGTTCTGAGAGCGATGAAGTGATCCAGGCTTCCACTGGCAGCTGCTATCACCGTGACAAGAGATGACTAAGCCTTCTTTGTTTTTCACATAGGCAGCACCTTTGAGTCCGTATCTACAGAAAAAGCACATGAGCAGAGAGAAGTTGTTCTAACACTTTTCTGTTGATTTTGAAGCCAACAGAAGGCTAGCTAGGGTTACATAAAAGCAACAAAGGGGCAAACGCAGTAGCCTGACAATCCTGCTTCAGGGACACTGATGTGCGTTGTCAAAGAAAACCCTACAGTACACAGAAACAGCATGACGACAGGGACTGAAGTGTTTTGAAAGCAGGAAAGCAAAAGTAAAACACAGTCAGTGATTTTGGGTGGAGCCTGGAATGGCCAGATGATGGAAGAGCAGCATTACAGGTTATTCCAGACAGCACAGTGAGGAAACAGTTCTCCATTAAAAAAAAAAACACACGAGTTTAAACTTCAAGACCAGCAGCACATTTGCGCAGGGTTCTCCAGAGGGAAGCCTTTCTTGGTCAGGTAGGTCCTGGCTCTTCAGGCATGCACCCCAGCCAAGCCGTCTGGAATGCTGGAGCTGACAGGCCTGCATCATGCTGGTTTCTATCCAAGCTCAGTCTGTGGCCAGGATCAGGCAGCCCCTGGCTGTATTCCTGGGGTCCCGGGTATTTGTGTAATGCTTTGCTTTACCTAACATCCCTGTGGAAAGTTTTTTGCCTTTTTTTTTTCTTTTTTTTTTTTGAAGGAGAGTTCTTATGCCTACATTTCTTGTACCTGTTAGCTAGCCAGGTGGCCAGTGTTGCTCCTAGTAATGCACAAACACAAGGATCATTAACTAATCCTAAATATCCAGAGCCAGTAAGGGAGAGGAAAGGTGGTTCTCCTTCCCCCCAGCTTGAAGAGCTGGCCAAGTCCTATGGGAAGCAGTGCTCTCCAGTTCTATGGTGACCACTTCCTTCTCACATCATTCACTAGTGAATTTATAACCTAAGCAGAACACATTTAGTACACTTTAAATTACAGATTTAAAAGCTCAGAAAGTAAAATGTAATGTAGCTTCATGCCGAGCTGCTTTCTACGAGCACAAATCAGAGGCTGAGCTGAGATACAGGCACTTAGAGCAGAACTGCCACAAGCAGCACCATATGAACATTTCTTCTCTGCTTCCCTGCTGCCTATGAGGGGCAGCTGTGCAAAAGGTGCTCCGAGCCTGCATAAACCTCCCTCTGTAGTGAAGGAAAAGAGTAATCTGAGGAATGCATGGTTTCTGATGTGGAAAATCACTTTCTATTGTTTTTAAAATAAATTTAAAAATGGGGGGTGGGAGAAGGGTGGAAATATTCCAGTCATTGTTCTGCCCTAGCAGCTGCTTGGGAAAAAAAAAAAAAAGGCCTTTTAATGTTTTGAAATAAGTACATACTGTGCAGTAGAGTCTTACTGTTTCCTCACGGGAACTCCTTTTCAGAGTCAATGCACAGAAAAGCACCACTTACGATTGACAACAAAAATCTGAAATACAGTCGCCAGTCAACACCAGGCCACCCTGCAAACACTTCCTTTCTCAAGGACCAGAGCTGTCCTCACTGCATTTTTGTGATGTCTTGGTTTTAAGCTCAGTCCCAGCTCTCATCGACTCACCTTGGTACAAAAACGAGCACACCGTTTGTCCGAATCGAGTAAATAACACCATCTGCTATGCAGCGCTCGTCTGTTTCTGGGGTTTTGTCTTTGAAGTACATGCACTGGAAGAGTTCAGTAGACTGTTTCTGAGCACGCTGGGCTGCCTGCAGGCACCCCCCACAAAAAGAGAAGACAAAACAACCTAAATAAATATTTCAACAAGCTTCTTTGGCTTTGATTTCCATAGCTTCTTTTCCCCATTACTTACTCCCTTACCTATCCCCTAGAAAAATTACATCTAAAAGGAAATCTTAAAGTGACTTCATACTTCCCCTGTTACTGCCACTCTCAGAAGAAAACTGGTATTTAAATGACAAAAACCCAAAGCATTATAAATAAAAATGAGCGATACTACGTCATCGTAGTACCAAAAAGCCGCAGTCAGGACTGGGATCCCATTCCATTAGGCAGCACACAAACATATGGAGACTCGTACAATGACCATCTTACCCGGTTTCTGCTGTTAATGTGTCTGCACAACTCCTCAAGATCCTTGTTACTGAATAAATCCTTAGCATCTCCTTTAGCTTCCTTCAGAGTCGCTGCCATCAAGAGTCTGTGGACAACGATGTCGGCGTATCTTCTAATTGGAGAAGTGAAATGAGTGTACTTCTCTAAGGCAAGTCCTACAAATAAAAAAGCAGTGATAAGCCGCAAAGCGATCGACCGCCTCCCCCTCACCAGTTGGGAAATAGTAACGAGAAGAGCGTAAAAAAATCAAGTGACAAGATACCATAATGGTGAAACTCCTCCTCAGGACAAGAGCCGGTTGAGAAGTACAACGCGTTGGACATTGCCTGAGTGGCCATGGATCGCAACAGTTTATTTACCATCGGATCCAACGGGTCGTGTGCTTTATCCAGAGACTCAGCCAAGGCTTTGTTAGACCTGTCAAAAAAGTGTTAATTCTGAAGAAAACTATGCTATCCCTTATCGTAATAGCTTATAGTTTAAAATAGCAAACAAAGCACATAAAAATTAAGTTATAAAAATATGAATGACAAGCAGAATGATATTAAAATTTTCAACTCAGTTTAGTAACAGCTCTGCTCTAGAAAAATGTTTAGAAAAAAACGCAGTTTTCACCACCAGGCCTGTCTCCTGCAACTGGAGAACCAAGGAGGACTGGAGCAAAACCCCATTCTATGCAGCACAAAACAGAGTGAGCTGGTCCAAAACCTGTTCCGAGCAGGAGAGCACAAATGGGACAAGGTGACATCCCAGTACAAGGAGGCACTACTGATGCCCTTCGCCCTCTCTGATGTCCAGAAATGATGCCTCCCAATGTGATGAAGGCTCACAGCCTCCTCGTAGTATCTTGACAAAGTAAATCTGAATTGAGTCATTTAAAATGACTACATTGCACAGAATTAAAGTGATTTAAACAAGCACTCTCTTAGACTATGATTACAGGAAACACAGTGCAAACAAGGCTATTACAGAGCTTATCCACAACATCCTGACTGAACAAATTCTTTTTGGATATGTCTAAAATTATTCAGACAGTGCCATTTTCAGTCCTGCTGGCAGAACGCAGCAGCCTCTCTGGTTTAGATCTTCATCTCCTGCTTACAGAAAGGTTATGGTAAAGGTTTTTTTAAGAATTGCTATGCGGTGTCTATTAACATTGACACTGAAAACTGCAATGCTTTGTGACAGTAACCTAGCCAAGCAGTTAATTGCTTAACTTTAATTAAAGCGCTCAAGATAAGTAATAAAAGATACCGTGTGTCTATTGAGAAACCTTTGGCACTGGCACATTCTCGAAGCTCAGTAAAAAACTCCTGTCGTGGTGGAGGGTGTTGGCGCAACAAAGCCTGATGGGGAAAATTTTCTGAAATCTTTTTTGCCACCCAGTGGTTGGCAAGAATCATACATTCCGCCACCGTCTCGTGCACCTCCAGCGGCTGCTTGGGGATGAGATCATTGATGTTATTTTTGTCATCCAGTTGCACTCGGATTTCTACCCCTTCTAGTTCCAGAGCACCACAGCTGTCCCGCTTAGCTCTAACGTGCCGTGCTATATCTGTGAGTTTTGCTATCGCCCAGGCCAGTTCAGCCAACTTCTTCTGTCTCGTTCTTTCATCCAAGTTTTTCAGTTCCAAGATGTCACCAACAACACTTGGGTCTCCATCCAGTAATCCCTGTGCTGCTTCGTAAACTAGCTTGTACGCAGACCGAATGATGGTTTTGGCGTAGCAGACTCGCAGCACTTCGTACGATTCTTTTTCTAGTTCCCACAAGACACTTACAGCATACCTTAAAGATAAGATCACAATTCTATAAATAGTCATGGTTGACTTAAACTGTCATTTCAAGCACATCCAACTCTTACAAATTTACAGGTTTCACTCTATTTTTTTTTTTTTGCTGGAAACATCTTTTCCTTCTTGAAACAAACCAGTGCTCAGCAATGCCACTAATTAATGCACTTGCCTTTCAGTCTTGAGTATCACAACTTTAATAAACTATGCCAGTAGTATTTTCAGTCCACCTGTTGAGGCAGGTTATAATAGCTATTTTTATTCATTTTCATTTTGTTAATCAGATGCATCCACGATGAACGTATCTGCACCCTGCGTATCCTCATGCCAGCCTGTAAATCGTAATAAAATGTGGTAATGGCATGTTTGAGGAATAGGACCATAGTGAAAAATGTGACCATTCACATGGGTGCATGCACTTCAGGCTGAAACCCATGTGAAAAAACAAGTGAAGAACAAAGATGCCTTTACCTTTAGGTTGCTGTTTAAATACAAAGCAAATTGCTGAGGTGTGGGTAAACATTACTGGAGACAGTCGTATATGGAGTTGGGGCTGTTTAGCCTGGAAAAGAGG